CCAGGAAGGGTACAACAGGCTATGCACCCTTCACCGCCAGTGTACCACGAACTTCTGAACGGAACTGCACCAGACATCAAAATATGTACTGTCCCTTTAATATGACGGGTCTGCTCCTTGGCTAGGAAGTTAGGTTGGTTTTTTGGTTGGTTAGGTCACGTTCTATTAGGTTCAAGTAAATGTCGTCTCTTAAAATACTTACTATGATGATATGAACATGTGGAAAAAAATCTAAACTTCTGATGGTAGTGCTGTTCAGAGACATTACCTTTGATTCAATTTTGTTGGTAATTTGGGGGTGTCATATCTCCATTATGGCTCATTTATGACGGAAATGAAGGTGAGAATCGTTTAGTAGATATTTAAGCACCTAAGGTGAATTAGTAGGAACTTAGCCGGTCACAGCAAAATATCCACTACGTAAGAACACCAATCAAATCTTTGAAAACCTAACCCAGTGTTTCTTAACTTGTAAAAATATTAAGAATCACTTTAGAGTTTATGGATCCATCCTCATATGAACACCTACTAAAAACCGAAAACACCATCACCCAATAAACACCGAAAACTAGAATAAGGTAAACTTTTTATAGTTTTAGGATTTTTAAAGGTTACGAAACGTTAGGTCAGGTTTTCAAAAAATACATTTTTTTTTTACCCCATTTTCCCTCTAGTTCAAAAGCCCTGCCCACTTTAAACAAGTAATATTATTAGTAATTTTATCGGTTAAAATACAAAAAAAATATATACATTTCCAACGGAAACGCTATAGAATAAATTATTTGTGTTTGTGTTTCGGCCCCTATGCCCTAAAAGTTTAGAAATTAGTTAATCCTGTGTATTTTGGTGTGATTTAAACGAATTTGGCCATTATTTCCGGGGGAAGTATCCGTTTTAGAGTTATCCCCTCCTCCACCCCCACCCAAAAAAAATGGAAAACTTTACATTCATTTCTGACGCTATTATTCTTTGCTCCCTGGTTGAGATGGGGTTAGAAATACTCCAAATAAGGAGATGCCAAGACTCTATATATATATATATATATATATATATATATATATATATATATATATATATATATATATATATATATATATATATATATATATATATATATATATATATATACTGTATATATATATGTGTGTGTGTGTGTGTGTAGGTGTTGACAACGTCTAAAATATTTACCGTGGCATTTTTATAATCGTTTACTGTGTTAAATTGGATGAATATATGAGTGATAGGGGTTGGGTGTAAATGGGATTGCCCAGTATGGGCCAATAGGCCCGCTGCAGTTTCCTCCATTCTTATGTTCTTATGGATATAAAAAACTCCCATGTTCACACCAGCTAAGCTCTCATGGAGATACGAGTAAATTTAGAAGTAATGACATTCTCTGGACTTTGTTTTGAGAATGCCTGATGCTAGGTAAACTTGACAACATATTGATGATTCACTAATGAACCACTGGGATATATCATCATTTATATTAATTAATAGGTAAATTTTTACTTTAACTACCATAAGTAATTGGATGCTTAGATTCGAGATAGGCTATATTGGGTAAATTTTAAGTTTTGGTCATCCCTGTACTTAGACATGCAGACTATGTTTGGTTTTTTCTGATGGTTTGCGATGTGTTATGAACGATTTAGACCTTCATTTTTATTGGAAATCACTAGTTTTGAGTTACTACTCCCACTTACCAATGTATGTTAAGCTAACCTTATAACTCATCATACCCTAACCTAACTTAACCTTATGATCTGAATTTTCTTATGCGATCGAAAAATGTTATGCGACAGAAATCCTGTAGAGATAATGTGTATTATTTTTTAAAGAACTTAATCCCATAGTTAAAGTCTTAAGGTTCCCCAGACGACCAAAACCAAAATAATACCAAGATTGTTTGGAATGTTTATACTATGAAATTTGTTGTATGGGCAGCTAATATCCATTGAATTAGTTTATGTGCTTAGTAATATTTATATATTTAAAAGAGTATTGCTGTGTTGCACAGTAAAGCACAATTAATCATCTAACAACATTTATTTACAGAGCCGATCAGCCGAGAAGGTTGGGCAACTTCAGCTCGCTGCCTCCTGCTGGGAAGCTTGCCCCAGCCAGTGACGTCACAACCAATCACAGAGCTTTTACAGTCATGTGACTTTTTAGCAACTTTAACCCTTATTTTTTTACACTTTTTGGTCCAATTTCTTTAAAAATATCATTACCATAGTAAATTTAAGCGTTTTCTTTACCCATTGACCTGCCATCTTACGAAAAAATTCCGACTGTCAACTCGTCCGTTGTGACCATACTAACTTTCACCAGTAAATGAGGACACCCGTGCAAACGGAGAATGGATACACATCCCGATTTCGTATTTCATCGATTACCAAAAGATAAAGAAAAGTAAGTATTGTAAATATATTTTAAAAAATAGACTAAAAGTAAGATTTCTATGGAAGATGCTAGGGGCAGGTATGATCATTATTATAATTTTAGTAACTGTAAGTAATTCTGGATAAATTTCTTCAGATATAGTAGATGGCAGAGAATACTAGAATAAAAAGGCATACCTTTAAAGGGAAAAACATGAGAAGTGTGTTGGGGAATGTGCCAGCTTGACAATCCGCCAGCGGACGGAACGGGACTCGGAGTCAGGACTTGTGGAGTTAGTTCCAGCCCAGAAAACACACTGTGTGAACCAGACGCCACGCTGTGTGGACATGTCTGTCTTCCCTTGCCACCTTCGCTTATAAACTGACTATGGACGCGGCCTTTAATTATCCTCCGGGTTGGCACACTAACAAAGAAAGGTACTTGGAAGGGCGCACTATACGCTCTGAGAAAATATTACACCTAGTTGTGTTGTTTATGCCTGATCTTTCCCGTCTTTCATATACTCTTTGGTCACGGACTTCCAGTATCTACAGACGAGAAACTTCCCAGTACTCCGTGATGAAGATTTAGTAGTGCTGTTAACACATAGATGGCGCTCACCTCCATATCTCATTCTATGGGGTATGAGATATTGGTTCACACTCAGGATGGGATGGAGAGAGGGAACTCACATGTGCTCACTGTATACATATTGTATTGGATGTACAATGCAGCTTGTTGCTGGGTAGGTAGCATGGTAAGAAGCGCTGAGTAGAGAGAGCTGGATGGTGAGGGTGCCCAGAGTGAGGGCACGCGGCTTGAGGGACGCCAAGGTCGCTGGCGGGAGCGGCAGCCGCACGGCTGGCTCAGTGGTGGTGCTGCTGCTGCTTGCTGGTGGCACTGGGTAGAAAAGAGGGCGGTCACAGCGGTGTCAGGTCGCCGAGCTGACTTTCTGCCTTTTTTACACACAATTGCAGGGTCTCAATTGTTTCTCGTACTATTGACATCGCAACAAAGATATATATTGTTTCTCACTTTTGATCTTTTTTTTTTCATTTTTGTATTTCTTTATGGTTATTTATTATTATAATTATTAAAATGTTGTTATTATTTTATTTTCATTTTTTTATTTAATTATAAAATTTATTTACTATGAATTATTATTATTATAATTAATATTATTATTATTACTATTACATTTTCGCCCCCCAGGCGGCGGGTGGACGGTAATAAAGTCCACAGGAAAAAGTCACACGACTTGTACACATTGACAACACAATATATATAATGGCATTGCACGTAGGTTAGGCTTTTTCCGTGCCTTTTTATCTGACTTTCTTTCTTGTGACTTTTTTTTCCCTGGATTTAGGCTGTGATGTGGGTCAGTGACCTGTGTCCGGGTGAGCTAATCCGTAGAAAAATAAAAAAAAGAAGAGATATTGGAAGCATAGTGTGTTGTCTAATGGTAGACCCTGCTGCCATATGGCATCACAAAAATTTACCAAGTCCCAAGTTGCTGATCTGACTTTGCCTCATTTACACAATTTCAGGGTCTCAATTGTTTCTCTTAAGTACTTTGACAACTCAACATACATACAGTATATCATTTCTCACTACAGCTATTGATTTTTTTTTTCATATTTGTACTTATTTATATTTATCATTATTATTTTATTTTTTATTATAATTTATTAATTTGTATTATTATTATTGTTATTATTATTATAATATTTTGCCCCCCAGGCCGTGTTGTGGGTCAGTGACCTGTGCCCGGGTGAGCTAATCCCAGTTAAAAAATAATAATAATAATTCAACTGAGTATGTTTCTCATCTTGCATCGTTGAAAAGAGTGTTGTAAAGGAGTTATTTTTATTTAAAATAGCTTGGCTATATATTTATGTAATTGGGGATGTGTTCCTATTCCTGTATGTGTAGTTGATTTTGATACCAAGCAGATTTCTGCATTTGACTCCAGATGACCCAGTTGTTATTTCAGCCACTTGGGAGGTCTATCTGGAGGATTACCAGCCCTGCTTGAGCAGCTGATGAAGTAGGGCTCGTGGTCAACCTGACCAAATTCAGCTTCAGCCAGGGCACAGCGACCTAACTCGACCATGTAGTCGGCCAAGGACGAACTCAGCCGCAGAGGGGAAGATTCGGACAAATTTCAACTGATATTTTTGTAGAAGTGTTTAGATATTTAAAAATATTCTTATTTATAAATAAATTGACTGTAAATTTGACCTGTCAACAGGGGAGGTTCTGTAGGCACTGTAAGCTCTGAGAAATTTTGGGGAAATCTGACCAATATCATGGACATTTTGAAGTCCTGTGCACTTGATATTAAGAGATATTCTCAAGTCAAGAGTAATTCTTTTTACTATACAAAAATGTCTGAGTACAATACTGCATTAAAGAAAATGTATTGGAATTTTCTGATGAAAATGATGGGGGGGGGGGGTCTGGACCCCCCCCTGGATCCGCCCAAGTATTACTACACTACAGTACGTCCTTTTCTTCAGCTTCTCCACTCATTATCATCAAAATTAAAACTTCTCACTAATAATCACACAACCTCTCTCTTACATGGAGAGAGAAAGCAGTAAAAAAAAAAAAAAAACATACATCAAGGAAGCAAATTTTAACTTCCATCTTTATTTCATTAAGAAAAACCTAGTTACAAAATCAATTTAAATTACTGTATTTACATTTACCAAACTTAATCATTATTGCATTGCTAAGTTGCTTGTATTTGATTCTTAGAATAATGTACAAAGACTGTTCCCAATAACATAATATGTAACTACAGTATGTGAAATATATAGATAACCTTATAAATTAATTTGCATATACCAAAATTAAAAAGAAATATCATAACACACAGTACTTCAGTTATTGAGTACAAATGGCTAAATGGTTCCAAAAGACCTGAGTGAGTGGGGTAGTCCAGAATTAAACTGGATTATGGCCCAAATAAACAAAGAAAGTTAACAGTACAGTCTAAATCCAGTGGGTCCCAAAGTGTTAGATATAGACCCTCAGGGGTCGATGAAACTGTGCAGGGGATCAATAAATATCTAGGGGTTGACATGGGCCAATATAATTCTAGGGGTGAAAAGTTAATTTTAAATGTTTAAATAGGTAATACAGTAGATCATTTTGAAGATATTGAGAATATGTGGGTTCCTGACTGGATTGCTACTCCATTCGATGTTTAAATAGAAAATGCAGTTGTAGAAACTAACTAACAGCAGGAATTAATTGAAATGAGCATGGCTCTCAAGCCAAAAGCATTGTTTAAATGTAAAGGCTTCAGTGATTACTGGAGCAATGAAAATACTGCTACTAAATATCCAAACCTTAGGGCAGCTGCTGACCTGTTTTTACTTGCATTTCCAAGTTCATACATGAGGAGCTCTGGACCATAACCTACTAAGATCCGTGTATCACTGAAACATATTATGTACTGCATTGCATTGTATTTCCCAACCTCTCCTCTGACCCCTGGGTAAGTCAAGAGAGCTAATTGGGTGAAATAATTCATAAGAAGAATAATGAAGACATTAAAATAAGGAGAACTGGAGTAGTGCACATGTCATTTTCATTCTTCTCCATACAATATTATGAAAACCAGATGATTCCAAGTAACTTATGTTATTTTCATCATTATGATGAAGTAGTACTCCTGTGTCAGAGTAAAGTATCTCATAAAACTACGTAATATGAGACAAAATGTTTTCAAATGCCACACAAAAATCACTTTGTGCCAATAATGAAGAGAAGACTATGTAATTTCATGAGACTTATCGGTGATGTATATTTAATCTTTTTCCAACATATACTGCATCAGGTGCAGTATGGAGGGTCCCAGCACATTAGATATATCCCACAACAGTTGCATTACATTTTTTGCAAACCAATATAAATTTCCCATGCTTTGCTTTTGCTGGGAATCTTTGTGAAGCCCTTTGGCAACTTCTCTGAGGTGGTGTAGGCCTCTCACCCATTAGTATTGGCTCGAACATTACTGAAATATAAGTGATATTTAAGCAACTACTGATTTTATGTACAAAAATATCTGTTGCCAATCAGCATACCTTGATGTCTTCTGGCTACAACCACGTATACAGTAACTGTCTCAACCATACCTCAGGTGGAATACAACTTTGAAGAATTAGAGGAGACTCATACCTATGGTCTGTAATGATTCCAGTAACTAAACTAAATGGTGAAAATGTATTACTTTTTCATGTCTAAACCAGGAATAAATACCAACTGTAAAAAATATCTCTGATATTCACATTTGTACAATAAAAGTTTCATTTCTTCATCCCTATGTACAATTTCATTTTATCCCAATTAATTTAACACTTTAGACAACCACTTTACATTCCATCATAGGCAGGTCCACCACCAGCCTCAGGTACAACCCAATTGATATTCTGGGAAGGGCACTTTATATCACACGTTTTACAGTGGATACAGTTCTGGGCATTGATCTGAAGTCTTACACCATCACCAACCTCCAATGGCACGTATTCATACACGCCTGTAAAATAGACAAAAGAATTCACTTACATTTACAATAGAAATTAATAGATATGCATACACACGGTTATGTACTGAATACTGTGTACAAGTATGGATGAATGTGATGAATGACTAACTTCTGGTAGCTTCCTGTAGAGAAAACCCTCGTATTCTTCAACTAAAGAGAGGGGGAAAGCCAGTTCAAAAAATTTTATATTCTAAATTTGGAAAGAAGATACCCCAAGAACCCATTTCTTTGATTTGCATATGGGTGCTCATCTCACACCTGCCCAACACAGTATATCAGTAACCCCTTACTAGTCCAGTTAAACTGTGGGCTACGGCATCATCCCAGTCATTCATCACAGTTTAAGGCCATTTTCCACACTTCTGTGTATGATTACTAAAAATCTGTTGAGAGAAGGGGGTGGCACGGACTATCCCCGGTGGAGGCTCCCGTTGCTTAAGAATAAAATGAAGGAGCAGGCTTTGTGTAAAATACAACAAAACCTAGGATAGCTTTTGTTGCCCTTGTGAGGCCATGGTAGTGTTCTCTGTTCACCTGCAGAGGTTCTGAGTTCAATAACTGACTAGTGAGGTTTTGTTAGTATATTGAAGTCAGCATACAGTATATGTGGTCTGAAATATGTATGCAATATTCACACTTTATTCTTAGTATCTGACAAAACATTCATCATCAACATTTTACAGCCATTTTCCACGCTCCCATGGATTAGCTAACAATTGCCCAATGGCATCTCTCCATGCTGCATGGTCTCTTGCAGTTTTTCTTCAGGTGCTTAACTGTTATTTTCTACCTCTCCCCATGTCAATTTTGGCCTTCCCCTGGCTCTCCTCCTCTCAACAAATAGACTTGACCCAATCGGTCTCATCCATTCTCCTGCCCAAACCATCTCACCCCGCCTCTATTCAGAACTTCAATATAGTACTCTCTATTCCCAGCCACCCTCTTAGCTCTGAAGAGGGTTTCCTGTCTTTCAGTGTCACATTACACATACACCTCGCCATTCTCATTTCAGCTCGTTCAAGTCTACTTATGTCAACCTCTTTAACTGCCATACAACATCACACTTCTAACACCTACTACATACATTCTTCCTTTCATACAGAAGGAAGGTCCTCTTGTCGTCAATAAAGGCAGCCATTTATGACTTGCAACTGAGCAACTTATGACACATTGTAGAATATAAAATAAAAAGAAAGTGTTGAAGTGAGAAGGCCACACATTAACGGTCAGTGTGAACTGTGTAAACATTTTGGCAATCTGTGCCAATGTCAGCATCAAAATTTGTCACTGAGGATTAGCCTGATCATCAGTCAACCTTAAATGAAATTGACACTTAGTCAAGGTCACAATGGAGATAGAAGTCTTCTACTGAAAGAGAGGAAAATGAGTAGGAGCAAGAGATGTGAATAATAAAGGCAAAAAGGAGTACTGATACCCTTATTCATCCCTAACAAGTTTATTCATCTTCCTCCCCCTCCATTCTCACCCTTCTCCTCATTCTTTTCTCTCTCTCCCCTATTAAAGTATCACCCAATCTAACTCTCCTCCTCTTTCTGCTCTCTCCTTCCTCCCACTTTCTTAACATTCTTCTTCCCACATCCTCCCATTTTCCTGACTTTCCTTAACACCAAGCAAATTCACTTACTGTTTCCCATAAACCAAACAACTCAACAATATGCAGTACACTTTTCCTTTACAAGAGTAACAATGAATGCTCAAAACTAACCTGCAGGACAAAAGCGACCTTCTGGTCCATCAAAGATTCCATGATTCCTTTCCACAGGCACAGAATCATCCTTCAGGGTCAGGTGAGCAGGTTGGTCATGATCATGGTTGGTACCAGTCAATGCAACTGAGCTCAGTAGATCAAAACTAATCTCTCCATCATGTTTAGGATAGGAAATTGGTTTGCACTGATCTGCTGGCTTTAAACTTTGTGCATCAATTCCTGTAAGAAAATAGATATTACAAGTCCTTGCATTTCTAATGAAAATTAAGATTTCCACTCCAGTAATCAATCAACATAAGAGGTTGTCAGCTGTTCAGTGTAGTGGAGTTGAAATAATTCGATGGTTAGGAACCAAAAGACATCATGAACTAACAAATTGCAAATTATAGTTTAATTGATTTAAATGGAAATAATTAATTAGTTTGGTTTCAGAGGCCAAAAATTACCCATAAAGTGTTCCAAAATGGCTTTAATAATCACTAAACATCATACATATTACTGTACATAAAAAAATATAGTAACACACAGATATTGTAAAAAAAAAGTAACTATATTACATAAACAGTTCAATCCCTTCTCATTATCAATCTGTAGGTTACACACTATTACTAGCATCCAGACGGGCAGGCTCTGACTGTGCTACACAAACAAAACACAGTATACCCTTATTAATTCGACAAAAGAGGGGCTCTGGGTCACTCGAATAAATGAAAAATCCGAATAAAACGAGTTTGGAATATTTTGACATTATTCGACAATTTCCAATTTTTTTGCTCAATTACCGTATTCATTCATTTTCTGTTCAGCTTTTGCACCATGCCTTGGCTGCCACATAAAATAATCTATTTGTAATTATTGTTCAAACAAAAATATTTTCTCAATGTACATACAGTAATAATAAAGTAATTAAATGTAATACTGCGAGTTGAGGTGATGATGCGAGGGGTGAGGTGATGAGGCAAGGGGTGAGGTGATGAGGCGAGGGATGGGGTGATGAGGCGAGGGATGGGGTGATGATGCAAGGGATGAGGTGATGAGGCGAGGGGTGAGGTGAGAGATGGGGTGACGAGACGAGCGGTGAGAGCACTAGTAAACCATTCTTATAACATTTTAATTTCTAATTTCTACTTTAAAATCAATTGATACATGATGGCTCGATTTGGCTACTTTTGCACTTAGTCAACTGATCAGTGAATAAACCAGGCATATGAAGACACATTATGCACTACAATAATACTTATTAGGTTCTGATAAATATGTGACAATATTATTTATAAGTGCTCAAGACAGATCCTGTGGTAAGCCAACCCTCTGGAGCAATGACAACAATGGTGCTTGAAAGATAGTGAGTGCTGGCAACATTATTAGTGAGAGCGGGTCAGTGGGACCAATCAGCTGTTACCGCTCTGTAAACAAGAGATTGAGAATATACTACGGTTCAATAGCTCATCTGAGATTGAGTGTGAGATTTTGGGGGCGAAAATTAATCATTTTTCGATAAAATTTTATTAACCCGGTATCAAATGATACTAAATAATATGGGAATTATGCCGAATTGCATACCGTTGGTATAAAGTAATCGCGAGCTGCCGAGCAGGAGGTGATGAGTTGTCAGTCCTCCCTCCCTCTTCTGCCACACTCTCTCCCAGGCTACACACCACCCACATAAATAATGCTCTAACTACTTATAATTTTTCTTATTTTATAGTTTATATTATATTTTTTTTATTTATAATTCACATTAGAACACTGAAGTGATATTCATTTTATATTTTCTTTGTCCAGGTCAATTTAGAACATTGAAATTATATTTCCACAACTTTTATGGCTTCTTATGTAAATAAACACGGCATTTTAGATCTTCATAGTGACCCAGGTGCTTATTAAAGCATGGGTGTCTGACAAGTTTTCATAATTTATGATGCTGCATATTTCAAGAATACCGACAATGTTGCAAGAGATTTCAGATGTGTCACAGTTACTTGTGATGATTTCTGGCATTCTAACAATGATGTCAGGTGACTCATGTACAGTATGTATTCATAATGACTGTAGGTGTATCACAAGTGTTCAGAGTGACCTCAGGAGTCTCACATTTGATCATGATCTTCATATGTATTCATAATGATGCTAGGTATCGTGTGCTCTATTGACAGGTACCTCACATGTTCTGCTCTATTGACAGGTACCTCACATGTTCTGCTCTACTGACAGGTACCTCACATGTTCTGCTCTATTGACAGGTACCTCACATGTTCTGCTCTATTGACAGGTACCTCACATGTTCTGCTCTACTGACAGGTACCTCACATGTTCTGCTCTATTGACAGGTACCTCACATGTTCTGCTCTATTGACAGGTACCTCACATGTTCTGCTCTATTGACAGGTACCTCACATGTTCTGTTCTACTGACAGGTCATGTTCTGCTCTACTGACAGGTACCTCACATGTTCTGTTCTACTGACAGGTACCTCACATGTTCTGCTCTACTGACAGGTACTCACAGGTACCTCACATGTTCTGCTCTACTGACAGGTACCTCTCATGTTCTGCTCTATTGACAGGTACCTCACATGTTCTGCTCTATTGACAGGTACCTCACATGTTCTGCTCTACTGACAGGAACCTCACACCTCACATGTTCTGCTCTATTGACAGGTACCTCACATGTTCTGCTCTACTGACAGGTACCTCACATGTTCTGCTCTATTGACAGGTACCTCACATGTTCTGCTCTATTGACAGGTACCTCACATGTTCTGCTCTACTGACAGGTACCTCACATGTTCTGCTCTATTGACAGGTACCTCACATGTTCTGCTCTATTGACAGGTACCTCACATGTTCTGCTCTATTGACAGGTACCTCACATGTTCTCATGACCCAGGGTAACTTGCATATGATCATAATTGCTCCAATAACTGAATGGTGCTCATTATAATGTCAAGTGACTCATTATTGTTCATACTGACCCCAAGTATCTCATGAGTATCCATAATAATTACAGGTGATGCACAGTTGTTCATAATGACAGCATATCCCTTATAAAGATACTAATTGCCTTGTATATATCTATGGGTTACCCTTGTTTTGGTAACATAGTACAGTGTACTTTTAGACTGAGAAATAATGACTTACTGGCATATCTAATTTAAAGTATCCAGAACAGCTATGATCACTACTAATTAATAAAAAGTATTTTAATATTCACCTCCATGTTTCAATGTCCAAGGTTCCTTCCCTCGTCCTAGGATGTAGAAGAGACCAGTATAGAGTAGACCACCAAATAAGCCAAGGGGATTGTGGAAGGACGGGCGAACGTTACGAACAGAGTGCAGTTCCTTCCACACCCAAGACTCTTTTATTCTCTCCTCGTAAGTGGCTGGCTCAATCCCTGTTAATAGTGTTCAACTTAAGTAAACAGATGAATATTTTCCTTATATCTGAAAGCTGAATAAAACAAAACAAGAACAAGTTGACTTTCATTTAATTATATGAAAGTAGGTGATGCTGACTGCTGTTAGGAGGAATTTATTACAATTACACGGCAGCACATTTTAAAATGGCAGTTTTACTTCCCTTAAAAAAATGCTGTTCTCATGCTTTGTTTTGTTTTTATTGTCCTTTCAAGTACAGGTATACATATATATATATATTTTGGGTTTCCTGCTTCTTTACCTTTAAATTTTTATTTTTTGTAAAGAAAGTAAGACAACCCATGCTGTTCCTCCACTCTCATTTTCTAATGTTAGTGAGAATAAGATTAAAGCCAAGGATTAAACCATGGCCATGGAGAAGATTCAACTGACCTGTGAATTTACCTGCTATAACAATCCCTGGCAAGTCCCATTTCTCCATGAGTCTATGTATGTTCTCAGGCAGGGAACTGGTCACTTGGTTCAGTGCACATGTTATACAGAGCCACCTGCTCATTCAGTCCATGGTTATGAAATAAACTAAAACATTGATTTAGTGATTCCTTCAAGAGCTATTCAGCCAATAGGTAAAGTCCCCTTCACTAGTGCATTTACAGGGGCTGTCAAACAAACACTCTACAAATCATCACATTGAGATATTTGTCTTAATACTGTTTTCTTTGACTCCATAGTATGTTTACTATTGTGAGTTTCCTTCTGTTGAATGTAAACAAACACAGGGCTGCCACACTGCACAAAACCTGATGAGCCCCTGTAAATGTACTAGTGAAGGGGACTGTACATCTTGACCAGTGGTTCTTAACCTTTTTGGAGCTGCCCTCTCCCCTATGATCCCCTCCTAATCCCCAAAAGTCATAAGAACACATTTCTTTTTTTTAATTCCAGTTTCACCACCTTTACAGACTTTCTAGATCCAAATAAGTAAATAGAGATTTTGAATTGACAGGGGGTTGAGTTGACAAGGGTTTGATTGACAGGGGGATGAGTTGACAGGGATTGGATTGACATGGATTGAGTAGACAGGGGTTGAGTTGACAGGTTGTGTTGACCAAGGGTTGGGTTACAGGGGTTGAGTTGACCAGTGAATGAGTTGATCAGAGGTTGAGTTGACCAGGGGTTGAGTTGACAATAATTATAATAAAACACATTTTTAAGGATATTAGGCTATTTACTGCTTTGTGCTGGTGGGGGTGTGGTGTGTAAGGTAATACCAGAGATGTGGACACATTGGGGGCATAAGCATAACTAAGGCCTCTGAGCAGCTGGAGCAGGCACCAGTAAGCCCAGGAGCAGAACATACACTGCACAAAAATTTTAAATATTGGAACAAAAATTCAGGACTCTTAGAGGGTTTGGGCACTGGTCTAGATAAGGCCTCAATCCTGACTTGGATCACGAAAAGGATTAAAACAAACCGTATTAAACAAAACCATATTATGAGGTCAAGGTAAAGATTTGATCCTGGTCGTACTGAGTTAAAAGTCGTTCTGAACTTTTAAGTACTGTCTATTTCAGTTGAAAAATAAGTGACGACCCATAGGATATTAAACATAATAAAAAGAGCTGTACTTACAAGTGGCTTCAGCATTCTTCTCATCACTAAGAGCATCAAATATGCTCTCAGCTGCAACCATGGCACTCTTCATGGCATTATGTGTTCCCTTAATCTTTGGCACATTCATGAAACCTGGTGAACACCCTACAAGACATCCTCCAGGGAAAGTCAGTTTGGGGATGCACTGTAATCCTCCCTCATTCAAGGCCCGGGCTCCATATGAAATCCTGAAATACAGAACCAGTTCAACTTTAAAATGAAAGAACGTGTTACATATCAATCAATTTTATATACGTATACAGTAGGTAGTCCTTTCCACATTTAAAATTTGTATGATCCACACAAGCATCTTAACATACATCTCACATTTTACTTCCCCAATTGCCATGTTAATGACAGGTTTTCTTTCCCTCTAAGGATTTTTTTTTCTTTTTTTTCATATTCTAACAAGAATAATCTCCAATCAGGCAGAATATGTCTCTGTTTTGCTTTCAACAGGTTCATTAAAAAGCTGTGTGTGTCTTCTTGGTTTTCTATAATAGTTTTTGACAATTATTTTCATGACAGTCTGGTACAGTACAGTAAAGCCTCGAATAAAGACGGTAATGTGTCCTCCAATATTGCAGTGTAAGGTGAATCATCGTATCGTGAATCATTAATTACCATTAAAATAAAGCAATAATAATGAGATGCGTTCCCAAGTGTGACCTTTTCATATCTTTTGTGTGACTTTTTACCCTCCTTTCCCCCCAAAACAATAAAATTAATGAAAAATGTAAACTATTTCTTTAAATAATGTTTATGAATGCACCCTATACAACATAAATGAATAATAACATGGTCACACAAGAGGAGATGGGATGCCATTGTTTTCGCTGGTGTTTACAGCTGGGAGTCCGGGACGATGGTTCTACATAAGAAAATGAAGAAAATAAGACCCTGGTTGTAGCTGTAGTAAAATTTATGTAAAAAAAAATAATATATATATGTTTTTAGTAATGTTATTTAATATTAATAAATGGAACAATAGAAGTAGCTAACCACTAATGGCAGAGAAAAAAAAAGTGAGTTGGATTGGGAACACCAAAATATACATGCGCATTTAAGGAAACAGTGTCATTTATCTTAAGAATATGTACAAAAGATTCATTATTGTTTATTACTGAATATGTATTTGATTGAATTAATCTTTATACTGTATATGCGAAATGAACACTACAATTCATTAATAATACGTAGAATATTATAAAACACACAAGAGGATGAGAGACGGCATTGTTGTCAGTGTTTACACCCATAATGTCAGTTATCCACCTGAAACTGAAGAAAATAAGACCCTGGTTGTTGTTGTTGTAAAATTAATGTAAAAAATATGTATGTTTTAATTAATGTTATTTAATGTACAGTAGAAGTAACCACTGATATTAAAGAAAAAAGTGAGACTGATAGTGGAACACCAATGTATACGTGCACACTCAAGGAAACAGACATTTATCTGAAGAATATGTACAAAAGATTCATTACTGTTTATTACTGAATATGTATTTGATTGAATTAATGTTTTTATATGTGAAATGAACAATGCAATTCATTAATAATACGTAGAATATTAATACACACAAGAGGAGAAAAGACGACATTGTTTTCGTGAAAGACGATGGTTCTACAGATTCTACATAAGAAACTGAAGAAAATAAGACCTTGATTGTAGCTGTAGTGAACTTTAGCTTGTTTGGGGATTACTGGCCACTTCGCCTTTTGGCTATTTCGGCCGAAACTGTCCCCCCGTTTTCTTTGGAGTTCTTTCTTTTGTTCTTTTTGCTTTTCAATTTCCATTCTTCTTCTTGGTCTCGTTCTGGTATATACTCGTAAAAGTCTAAAAACGCTGATCTTTTTAATGTTACTGAATCTGGCCTTTTTGTCTTTTCTTCGGTCTTGTTTGATTCTGGCTTCTTTTCTGTGGTCTTGTTGGGGTCTTGATTCTTCTTTTCTTCAATCTTCACTACAAGGAGAGTCTCCTTGTAGCTCAGTTTTTTCTTGCATCGCAGCTTAGCCACCATACACTCCTCCCTCCACTTAGGACACTCCCAGTCGGAGGAGTGAGGGCCACCACAAACTGCGCATTTCTTGGACGCCGAGCAGTTGTAATGTAAAAAGTGAACACCTATACAGTGGGGTATGCTATAACGAACGTAATTGGTTCCAGAACCTCGTTCGTTATAGCATTCGTTCGTTATAGGATTAATCCGTTCCAGGCCCCCAAATACAACCACTTAACACTGAAAAAATTCTGTGGAAAATGTAAAAAATACGGTACTTTATCTTACCTTAGTGTTATTCAGCATGCAGGTACCCCTAAACACTGGCACATCACTATCACTTCCACTGGGAGTCTTGGCTTTAAGGTCCTCAAACAATTGTTTAGCCTTCTCACAAATTATAGCTTCACTAATGTTACCACCTGCCATTTCTTTCTCCTTTATCCACACTAAGAGTAAATTTTCCATCTCTTCAATCACATTACACTTTGCTTTGCTAAGTCTAAAGATTCCCTTAGCCACTTGCACAGTTTTTAACTCCTCTTTATTCTTCAAAATCGTACATATAGTCGATTTAGCCATCCCATATTCATCACTAAGTTTCGCAATGCTTCTTCCATTCTCACGTTTCTTTACAATTTCTTTCTTAGTTTCAAGGGTTATTAGCTTTCTCACTCGCTTTGGACGACTCATTGTTACAATTGTATACTTGTATAACAAAATAGTTATACAAATAACGCGAATTTCCACATCAAAAGACGAAATTTCAACAATAACAGTGGTGCACTGGCTACACAATGAGACAAAGATGGCGCCTGACGCTCTTGTTGTGGGTCGCGGTACAACAATATTCATGCGCCAGGCGAAATAGTCCCGTATTCATCCGCGTTCGTTGTAGGAGTTGCGTTCGTTATAGCATTCTCAATTTTATAGGTAAAACCGTTCGTTATAGGAATATTCGTAGTAGGATCCGTTCGTTATAGCATACCCCACTGTACGTATGTTTTAAGTAATGTTATTTAATGTTAATTAATGGAACAATAGAAGTAGCGAACCACTAATGGTAAAGAATTTAAGCGAGACGAATGTGTACATGTGAAAACACTCGTCATTTCTCTACAAAACAATATGAAAGCAACACTTATTTACTGTTTATATATTGTTTTAAATAATACTTACAACTGTAAAACAAAAATTCTACTCACCAATAGTGGTAAAGTCTAAAACATAAGGACAGCCAATGATGATGTGTGAGTTTTTACTCAGATGACGAAGTCATCAGGTTCAACTGTAGCTGAAGCTGTAGGTTCAACTTTGGCTGAAGCTGTATCTTTCCATAAAGCTGTTACAGAACCTGAAGTTGTTGTTGAAGCTGCTTATGATGCTGAATTTGATGGTGTAGTTAAAGTTGATGGTTTAGACCTTCGAATAATAAAGCTGTCGAAAGAACCTTGCACAGCTGCTTTCTTTTCTCATTATACATCTTTATGAAAAGGTCGTTTGCATTTTTCGTGTCCCTTTTAATTTTAATGCTTCGTTCTATTATAGGATCCACTTCAGAAAATATGTTCATTGTTTGCTCCATATAATATCCACAGACCTCTTACTTTTTTCATATCGTTTTAACACATCTAGTTTCTTAGCTAAGCTTACACACTTTCTCTTACCTTTTGAACCAGCACTACCATCACTTGCTCTCTTGCTCATGTTGAATAGGGACTAAAAAATGCCGTAATAAGCCTGAGAAAGTTTTTCTCCTTTTCCTGTTCAGATGCGTGAAAACAAAGGGCCTGCCAACTGCGATTGTTTATACCAGTGATGCTGGAGTCACCACTAACAAACCCGGCAGCCTCCGTGCACAAGGCGTGTTTGGGGGGGGGGGGTTGTGTAATACATTTTATTTATATGAAAATATTTTTTTTTCTAATTTCGTCGTAAATACGAAGAAAATAATGGTGCAAATTGAATTTGGTCCTAAATTAACCAGGGACTTAAATATGAATCGTCGTTAGTAGAACTGTCGTTATCAGAGGCTTTACTGTACTGTACCTGCAAAAAATTACAATAAATTCTTCCTGTTTCTCTCACGATGAATCTCTTCATGAACCTTCAACAATTAAGCTTTAAACTACAGGTTGAACCTCTCTAATCCGGCACCCTCAGGACCAGACCAGAAAATTACCTTACGGTACCAAAAAGTATAAAAGTTCATGTACATGCAGCTTCAGGAATGCTGGCCGCCTGGTCTTGACGCTCGCCATGCTTGGGCTATGGGCACATTTTTTTTTTGGTCATAGCTTCAATCCAAATGCTTAGTGGCCTTTCCATTTTTACAATTGTTTTACCCCTCACAACTTAAGCCACTTGAGCACTTTTGGGATCCCTATATGCAACACTTGCTCTGATTTCTTTTGTCTCTCTCTTTATAAAGCAATCACTTTTTAAAACATTTAGGCACATTAACACTTACACTCACACTTCTTTGCTTTCTTTTACCCACATTTAAACATGTAAATGATTTGATGTAAGAAATAATAGTCGTGAGATAACATGTGCATGGGACAGCTCATGGGTGAAGACTAACAAAACGATGCCGATGCTTACTGGGAAGCGATGCATTATGTGCCGCTTGGGTGTCGAGGAGCTGCGTAGTACACCATTTTTCTCATCTTTATGTTACTAGAATGTTCTCAAGAGGACGAAACATTGCCTCTAGACTGACTTCACAAGTACCTGGATTCACAGATAACAAGGACTTGGTGTAATGGCAAAGTTTCGCATAGAAGTAGACTAGGGGTGTTTAGGCATGTGGAGAGAAAAGATGAGACCAACTGGGTCAAAAGTTGTATGAATCATGTACGAGTTTTAATACGGAAGGGAGGGAGGGGAGAGCCAGGGGTAGGCCAAGTATGACATGAGGAGAGTTTGTAAGAAATGACATAGTAAAGAACCTAATGAGAGAGGCCACAAGAGACAGTGCAGCAAAGACAGCTTGCATCACATAATCACGGCTAACACACACAAGTGTGGAAAATGGCCAAATGTTCATGAAGACAACACTGGAGAGGTGATCAACTTATCTAGCATAAAAATTTAAAAGATATATCACACACTCAAGGGTGATTGTATATGATACAGATGCCATGTTCAGTGGTGAAAGGTTTAAATACTCATTAAGGCTATCCATTTAAAACTGTAGAAGAACAGATGATACATTACTTACCTCGACCCACCACGCAATATGGATTCTATAGACGGGTGATGTTTAAACTTTTGGAACTCTCTGAATGGGTGTAAATAGGGGTTTGTGTAGTCCAACCCAATGACAAAACCAAGAGCAATTAGTGGCTGCTCTTCATTCAGGTGATACAGGAACGAACCTCCGTACGTGTTTCTGAAAAATTAATATCCAATACAGTGATCTAGTAATTTACATTCATATTAAAATGTGACTTTGCTCCCAATAAAGTAAGTTACTAAGAATATATGCATATATGCACAATCCTAAATGTGATTACGGCCGGGACAGGGAGCCATTCGTTCTAGAGACAGTAATTTCTTTTACCTGTATTGTATATATGTGCGTGCATAGACACACACACACACACAAAACACATACAAATAAATAATAATGGGAAAATCCTCTCACAAATAATCAGAAACAAGACAACAAAATTTAGAAAAAATGTGACAGTACCCTCAAGTCAACTCCATGCTTAGTTATTAAAGTTAAGACTCACATTTATTCAATTTTGTTTTTTTTCTGATTATTTGTGAGAGGATTTTCCCATTATTATTTGTTTGTATGTGTTTTGTGTATGTCTTTACACACACACATACTGTATATACAAAAAAGGTAAAAGAAATAATTGTCCTAAGGGCAAACACATAAAGGGAATATACATTTCTTTGCACATGAGTAAAAAACATACCCCCGGTCAGCAAATATTATTCACGGATTTGCCTATTCATTTTGAGAACCCAACCCGCCGAATTTTAAGGGCATGCTGTACCAGTAAATGCGAGGAATAAATAAAAATAATAACTTAAGAAAACTGTACTGTATTCCCATTTGGCTGTTGGAAGACAAAATTTGTCTATCGTTTTACTATACAAGGGAAACAGCTCATAACAGATGAGATCCATCACTCCTCCCTCCTATTAACACACACAAAGTTTATTCCCTTTTCATGTTTTTTACCTACTATTTTCTTTTTCAAATTCTTCAATATTGTGTGTGCAATTAACATAAAAAAATAATTAAGTATACGGTATCTACCCAAAATTATGAGTTGAAAACTAACCGTAACATAGCTAATAACTCGGCCAGGAGTGCTAGGGAGAAAGCTAGGGGGGTGTGACTATAGTGACGAGTCTTGTGTTACTATTACAAATAAAAAACTAGTATGAAATACTGAAAAAAAAAGGAATATCATCACAGATGTAAAGTAACAGCCTACATGGAAAGTCAAAAGGCTGAAGCAAACTCACAATTCCCAGCATTCATAAACAATATCACTACCCTTCTTATGGTATTTAACAATTGTGCTACTTCAAACAACATTTGTATACAATCTTGATGAAAAAATACAGCTAAAACCATTAAGAAAATGCTAAATGAAAGTTTAACACAACCACCATTTGCATAGACACTGGCTGCTTAGCCTCAACACTTGCCAGTCACCAAAGCAATACAACACAGCTGGGATGCTGCCTCTGCCAACTCCCTAGCAATGCCCCCCCCCCCATACACTCTGCTCTTTCATCTACCTCCCTTGAAGTGTCTGACTCTGTGATAATTATTATTATTATTTTTTTTTTAACAAAATGTATTTAGAATTGTGCATACAGTCATGTAACTGAGTAAGAAAAAAAAATAAGAAAAATATTAATAATAAAGTTACATGTATCTACCCAAAATGATGAGTTAAATAAGGACCATAAAAATTCACAGATTAGTAAGGTTAGCCTACCATATGCACGTCTTGGGTAGTTATTGTTCACTGTAAATGACTCGCAGAAATGCGTGAATTTTAACTAATCAAAGATACTGTGTGTTATAATTCAACCCCTTACTCTTTGCATAAAAATTTGATCATAAAAACTCGAGACTATATGGTATACATATGATCCAAACACAATGGCAGAGATAATTAAACTTACTTGTCAAGTGGCCATCCAACAGTGTGTTCAATGGTTCCAGGCTTGTGGTTTTCAGGTTTTACCTCCCATAATTCCTTGAGCCCAATGCCATACGTCTGAGGCTCACAGTTTTCACGTAGATTGAATTTGGTATACAGCTGTTTGGCAAGATGGCCATGACAACCTTCTGCAAAGATTGTGCATTTTGCCCGCAACTCCATCCCTCGTGCAAAAGAGTCCTGGTTAAATACAAGGCCTTTAGAACGTTAAAATATAAAATGACATCTTATTTTCTAAAACATATTACATATACTGTAATACCATTATGACAAGAAGTAGCAACTGTGAACTCTAAAACACATTTATTCTTCTTTTAATGATCCTCCAACACATTGTTCATGCTCCACATCACTTCTTAACATAATGCATCTCCGTATCATTTCTCCTACAGTTTGCATCTCCACATTACTTCTCTAACATATATGTACAACACTTATCCAACATCTGTACATCACTTTTCCAACATAGTACATCCAAATAAGTTTTCAATAATACTACACATCCTTCCCTCTTTTCTCCAAACACTCCGAGAGTTTAGTGCTTCTGAAACATACCGGTAACTATTGTACAACAATCTTGTATCACCACCAAAATTACCAATGTTTTATACAAATCCCTCAGATTTGTTTTACAGTTATGAATCTTATGGAAGGTGACTCGTTAACCGTAATCTCATTAACCGAGGCGTTCGTTAACCAAGGGATCACTGTATACACTAAGGTCAGTTACGGGGTTACTTGTGTTTATATCATGAATGAAGCTACCAATTTCTTACCTTTGGAGAGCCATCCTTAGCAATGCCTACATCACTTGTAGCAATGCCTGCAACCGCTCCATCTTCATTGTATAATATTTCTGATGCTGGAGTGCCAGGATAAATCTCAACACCCAACTCTTCTGCTTGCTCGCCAAGCCAACGAACAAAGTGTCCCAAACGCACAATGTAGTTTCCATGATTGTGCATTGGCATACCTATGAAGAGGAAAAGAAATTTCTGTTACGAGTTTGCTTTAATCCTATCATTTTTGGCCTTTACAAATAATCCTAAACTTACATTCTCAATTATGTTTTATTTAAACTTTGCTGCTAATTTATTTTCAGATTAAATATCATGGCAACATTTATTATACCTCACTTGGATAATAAAAACTGCACACAGTAAGGTTTAATAAATGATGAACTTTTATTCAATTTAACAAGCAAAATTTTGAGTGGAAGACTGCTTGTGTGCTTGCCTAGACCCTCGGCAAGAAAAATGATAGTTGCCAGTTATAGTTTCCTTTAATATACACTTGGTCCTGTTATTACATATTCACTTAAACAATAGACAGTGGGGCTGAGGGATGGAGATGGATATTATTTAGAGATAAATAAGCTTATGATTATTCTTATCTCAACTTCTATTGTTTTTAGCTACACTATTAAAAAGTACTCAAGCAAAATCACATTTAACTGTACAGTAAAAATGCCTTAAAGTAAATAAGCTTAGCTAAACCAGTAACAACTGTATGTGGTGAGTACCAGTGGTGTTTGTGGGTATGAGAGAATGTCATTTCTAAAAGCTACTTAAAGCTTTACCTACAGTTACTACTGTATATCAAACCTAATAAAAAAAGGAAGAGATTACTGAAGAATACCAGAGCAAAATAAATGTTAATGTCAAAATATCGTAAACTTGTAAAGGGGAAGGCTGTGGTGCTGATGACTGGCAACAGTCAGGCTTTGTTAGTGAGGGGAGGAGCCAGTCTACTGCAATTAGACTTGTTTTCTATACCAACACTGTCAGGCCAACCACAAGCAGCATAACTCATCAGTTCTGGTAACTACAGACTGTATAGTTTCTATTGATATACAGTATCAGGATTCAAGTTTAATATTGTTAGATTAAGTGACTCTTGGGGTTGAAAATTTTGGACTGGAACACATCTTTGCTTTCCAATGGGAAAATTGGTCCCATTTGATAAGAATTCACATAAACTCTTTTGAAAAAATGTCACTCACTAAGCAGGACCTTACTGTATGGAGTTGGTGTTGGTTTGTGTGTTGATTATGTCTATATTGAAGGAGGTCTTTTGTCTGAGTGTATGATGATGTAGTTTTTAATGTCAGCATAAGTGGAGGTCAAGCATAAGATAATTGCTCAGTCTATGCAAGGAAACTAATGCCTTACCAGGTAATATTGGTATATTAATTCGTCTTTTTTCTGTGAGGAAAGCAAACTTGTCTGCTGTAACTGGAGTATTTATCGGAGAATTGCGTTCCTTCCAGTCTGGAAAGAGTTCCTCCAAAGCACGGAGCTCCAAACATGCTCCAGATAAGGTGTGGGCACCTAAAAATTTTAAAGCAAGAAAGATAACTGTTACACCATCATACTCAGACATAATTTTTCCTGAGAGAGGCATACATTCCCTCTTCTGCACCTACATAATTTAAAAAAAAAAAAAAAAAATAGGAAAGGATAAATAAAAATTGTGTACATAATTATGAAGGTAAGTCGAGAAGTAACAAAGTGCACTGATTAAAATCTAAAAGTATGTCACACAAAACAATGTAAGATTGGTCCTGAAAACCCTTTTTAGTCAGCAACTCCAAGGGGTTGATACCCCCAAGCCTCAGGGGATTAATGTGTGATTGAGATCTAAAGGTTGAATAGAATTAATAATTAGGTTTTTCTTCAGGATCAATAAATTCTGTATAGTCAGCAACTTTAGAGAATTGAACCCCAGGGGCATAATGTGTGAGTGGGATATATATACATTTTTTTTTTTTTTTTTACTGTTACATGCATACACAATCATTCAAACAGAATGTGCAAAAAAGAAAAAAAGGATTATCATAAGGTCAAAAAAGAAAGAGAATAAACATTTCTTACGTCAGCTGGAATTATCCCCCGATCGTGAAAGGGGTAAGGGGGAGAGGAAGAGAGGGGAAGTGAGCTCCTGTCTCCCACGTCCTTAGTGAAACGATTGCCAAATGGCAATGCTTTATTTTTTCTTTTCTTTATTTATTAGTATTATTTTTATTCATTCCTCACATTTATGGAAGAATACATTAGCCTGTGGAGGGATAAAGACGCCACACTAATCTGAGGATGCTTGAAATTCAATGCCGTGGTTGGTGAAATGGTGTACAGAGTAAAAACCGTGGATACCCAGAGTGCACGGATGGGAAATCCGAGGTTGGCGAGGGTCTACTGTATTAACTGCACTAAGTCCCCTCCTACTTCTCTATCTGACTAGTGGCAAGAGCAGTGTATGGGCAAGAAAACTTTTGCCATCATAGCACTGCTCATAAGAAAGCCAAAATACAGAGATATGTAAAGTGTGTGGCCAACTTGATAGTAGATATGGAATACAAGATAAATGCAAATACGTACAGTAGACATGCAAGCAGCCTGATGGTCTACTCCCAAGAAAGTGTGATAATCAAAATTAGGAATTTGGGGCCTCCCAGAAAAACCAAGATCCTTATAATTTTACCCTCTAGTAGTATCAATTCAGTGACCCTATTTTCACAAATACAGAATTAAAAAGGTACCATTGAAATAACTGTTGTTTGCAAAAAATTTGGCACCTCCCAAAATATGTCTCTCAGGTTGGTCATTTCGTTTGACCCCCTTCATTATGTCACTGTCAAATATTTACAAAGATAAATGCAGAAGCTTCACATACCAATATCTGCCGCTTTCTCCACCACCATCACCCTAATCTCCTTTTCTTCTTCCTGTGCCAGCTGCATGAGTCGTATGGATGCAGCCAAACCAGCTGGACCACCACCTACGATCACTACATCAGCCTCATCTGCATAGCGTTCCATGTCCACGTCTGGAAAGATTACAAAACCTTAATAAAAATCTTAACAGAATAAAAATATATGACTTACCAGTAACAAAATTCTGGTGGCCTTTACAGGGTCTTCTCATGTAAGCAATCTTTGATGTGAGGGGCTACCCAGGCTGAGATTAAGCAGCAGATGGTCTACTATACATGATCATTTTATATTAATTACAATTTGCCATTTTATTAACTAACATACCGTAGATACTTTGTCCACATAAAAGAAAGATACATGAATCTTGTTTGATGAGCAATGATGATGTAAGATGCACTGGCCAAAATATTACACCATGGTTCATATTTTGTTATTACATTACCTATAATAATCCAGAAAAACAAAACATTATTTAAATTCATTAACAGGTTACATCATCCCCTTCAGTCCTTTCAACAGCTACAATATTAAAGGAGCCATTTTGAATGTATGATGATTATTCATTTCTCCAAACAGCTGATTCAACTGGTGAGCTTCATGCTCTATCCAAGTGTTACCCAAACTAAGGTCTATACAGTAGCTTCTTGATAAATTTTTATTTTCTTAAACTGTATGATCATTAATACTGTAATCCTATTGCACTCAGTTAATTAGTAAAGTTTAAATTATATTCAATCACTGGCAACTGTCCGCTCACTCTTGGTGGCCATGCAGATGACAATTTACTCCATGGAATATCTAATATGTTGTAAGTACAGTATAGTGTAACTCCCCAAGAATGATGTCATGGCAATTTAGCCTAACAGCGATAACTGGTACTGTTTTGGTTGTTCATTCTGGCATGGGATGGTGCTACTGTGATCAGCTATCATCTATTTTGTTTAGATCTACAGGTATCCCCCAATTTACAATGGGGTTACATACCAGAAAACCCATAGCAAGTTGAAATATCATAAATCAGGAGCATTATGAAATGAGGTTCATTAGCATAAATTCCCATCCAGTCCGATACCCACATGTATGACCATAAATAAAATTCCTACAATTAAACAAGACTCACGACATCATTAAGAACAAGTTTGGTCATCATCATATGTCCAGAGACATATGTTTTCCTGGATGCCTTGGCCTTCCCAGATGCAGGAGCCTCAGTAGCATACTTGTTAGACATTTTTAGTTACATTGCTCACTTCAGTCACAAAACAATCACAAAAACTGAATTAGTGATGCCTTTCACTGTAAGGAAAAGACTCCAATGATAACATAAAAACAATGATAGTGGCCGACACGCTCACATCATGTTCACAACAAGAGGCAAAGCACTTTTCAGTCACAAAAAACAGAGCAAAATTCACTTCACAGTCACTAAAACAGAGTACAATGTGAGCGTTATTGATGTCCTCACTGTCAAAAAAAAAAAAACTGATGACAAGTAACAACACCGATACTGACCGATAATCGTTAAGCTACACATTCACAGGCATGTATGATCACCATAGAACAAAATGCGGGACTGTATTGTACCGAGTGGCCTTGTGGTGGTGCACGGGTTGACTGCAGTTGACAAGTGCAGCAAGAGGTGCGTTCCATATTCCCCACGTCAGTGGGGGTGATCTTAATATATATCACCAATGTTTAAGCAAAATATCCAAATTGACTGATTGATTGTGGTAATTATACATCTCTGATGATGTAACAGCATAGGTCATTTGTCACCAAATGAAACTAAAAGCTCAGAAGGCTAAAAACAAATAATGCAAGGCAAAAAATATAAATAATAAATAGCTATGTTCTTGTTATTTTTCAACTCGGATTTTCAGGTAGAAAGTATATTGTAGATAATTATATTTTTTTTAATATCCTTTTTGCCACTTATCAGCTTACTAGCCATTTGAGCACTCTATCCAGTGTTAGTACAGGAGGAAACCAGTAAGGTTTGGTAGGGTCACACTGGATAACACCCTTCTCATGTGTGTCCAGGCTCCAGGCTGAGGCAAGAGTTACGCGCATTACCGCTGTACCACTCTGTTATGTGCAAACACAATCGTTCATACACAATGTGCAAAAAAAAAATATTTGGATACAGGTATATCTTAAGGTCAAAAACATAAAGAGAATAAACATTTCTTACATCCGTGGGAGTTAGCCCACAATCGTGGAAGGGAAAGCGGAGAGGAAAGCGCGCTCCTGTCTCTGGTGTCCTTAGTGAAACTATTGCTAAATGGTAATGCAGTATTTTTATTTTATTTTATTTATTAGACTGCAGAGTGATAAAGATGCCACACTAATCTGTGGTTACTCGAAATTCAATGCCGCGGTGGGCGAGGGTCGACTGCACATGTACATATTACAGTGAAGCCTCTCTGATGAACTAGTACAGTACCAATGTTTATTGAAATATAAATGTCTTAAAAGGCATTTTTTTGCTGTACTGTATACTTTTAGTTTCTTGTGCCGTACTCCATCCTCCCCATTATAACTTATAGAACAGTATACCACAAAAATATTTCACTGTAATTACCAGTCCCAATCTCACAAAATACAGTAAAAGCCCTCTTAATCCAGATTAATTGGGAAAAAATCCAGTCCAAATTAAGCGAATTTCTGGAGGTCTATTTAATCCAGAAAAAGTCTGGATTAACTGAGAAAAATCCGGATTGGCATCTGGTGCACACGAATGCCAGCACCAGCTGCTTTCTTTACAAGCCAGTCACACTGTTACAGCCCTCGTGAGTACAGACATTTCTTCAATCCTGTGGACTCTGAGATTTTGTGAATTAATTACTATGGCCTCCAAAGGCAAAACAACTTCAAAGGAAGTCAGAAGAAGACCAGAAAGAAGTTTAGCTTGAAGGACAAGCTACCAGTTCTGGAAGATCAGAGAAAGGTGTGTCTGCAAAAGTTTTGATGGAGAAATATGACCTGAAAAATTCAACCAACAGCATCACCAGCTTTGTTATAAATACTGTATGACCAGTATGTACAGTACAAGAATTATAGTACAGTATATATATATACTGTATTATAATGCAGGATAGTGATTCAAAAGTATTTATTTTTGCCACCACGTGGGTAGATCTGGACTCAATCCGGATTAACAGAAATTAGCCTGGAGTGGTTTGCCAGTCCGGATTAAGCAGAAATCTGGATAAAGAGAGTCTGGATTAAGAGGGTTTTACTGTACTACCAAAGGTCTTCTGTACTGTACATGGAATATAAATTGTAAATATAAAACACTTCACACACCATCTTGTACAGGGGTACAGGTATTATATAATAAAAAAATTAATTACCATCCTGGTTCAATTTTTTCTGCCAAGAAGTAACTGAAGACAGGAAGCCTCCAAACAATGGATACAGTACATCATTAAAGCCAAGAACCTACAATATTGTTCATTATCACACCAAACATCCAATAAACAAAGCAAGTGTGTTATTCCTGTATTCCAAAATGAAAACTCTTCTCTCTGAACCCACATGCAATAACTATTATTTTTTTAGTATAAGCCAAATAATTTTACAACATTCCTAACACCATCATACTCACCCCATTCTTCCTTGATTTGACAATAATCACAAAACCCAAGATAAAGAAAACCTTCAAGGCTCCATGATTCCACTGAATTGAATCTTTGATCCTGGTAACAAGAGTCCTCTCAGAAACAAGTACAGAACTATAATTATCATCACAGTATTCAAGAAGACAAAGCAACAAAGCTCACCTGTCCATCGTGGGTCTGTTTCCCTCGGCACCCGTGTGTAATGTGTTGTTATGCGAGGAACAGCATCACTTGAGTACCACCGTCTTATTCTTGCTGCATGACGCAAGTGTGCTGAAATGTAGAAAACACAAAAAATAGGATTTCATGGTAATGTAACTCTTTCAAAAATATGACACCTCTATATAGTTTTGAGGTAAATTGGGTATTTGCAATCTATAGATCTAATAATTCTATGACTCTTTTCTTCTATGACACCTTGTAAACGTCAAATAATGGTGATTTTGTTTTATTCTTTTGTTATTATCGTAAGTATAGTCTCGATTTATGCGGATTTCCTTTATGCGTTTGGTCATTTACGCGGCAACTGGCCAGACCGGCAATTATTAGTTACGCTGCACATTCCATCATTTATGCGAGAAGCGGTGCAGGCAGGGTGTGCACAAGGTCGCCCAGTCAACAAAACATTACCGAGTTCTTCACCCGCCACCCACCACAGCCAGACCAAGTCAGTGATAGTGATAATATGGACATTGAGGGGTTTGAAAAAGAGGCCCTGCAAGCCTCTGTGGTGGATAGTGATACAGGTGATACAAGTGATACAGGTGAGGGTCAATAATCTGCCCTCTGCCTCGGAACCAACCCCCCATCTCCTTGTGCCCAGCCATCTCTTCTACTAACGTAAGTGTTAAAAAACCTAATATTATTGATATTTCTCTTAAATATTAATTGTGTGCATACCATCATAAGATTAAGATGTTATTTTTACTACAACGTACGTATTGTGTCGGAAAAAGGGTAGTCTGGTGGTCAGCCCAGTCTCTATTTCAATTAATCCCTTATGTTGTTATTTCGTTTACGCGTTTCTCGTTTTACGCGGACCTCCACTGGTTCAATTGGCCGTGTAAACCGAGACTATACTGTACAGGAGCACCTATCACTTGTTCACTTTGTTTACAACAGACCCACTCCATCTGAGCGTACTCTCATGTCCACAAAAAACGTAAAATTACACCATGACACTTCAACAAAGTTGCTTTCATTGGTACCAGATATCAAAATAAGTACAGTACTTCTCTTTAATATGGAAGTTAGGTAAGGTTAGGTAGGTTTCTTTGGTTGGTTATGGTCAGGTTCTATTAGGTTCATTATTATTCACTTACGACATAAGTGTATGTAATGAAAGCTAGGCAAAATGATGAGATATATCTATTGCATGTATTAAAAATCCCAGATTCCATGGCTTTACGAAACTAAAATTTTACCCTAAATTGTTATGCATCACTCCTCTTTATCAAGAATTTGTCACTATTCATAAAAGCACAGAGAAACAAACCCCGTGCCACTAGTGGTCACAAAAAGAAGCAGGGTAAACACTACAGCCATCTCTCAATTTACACGGTACTGTAGTTAAATTCTTGAGAATGGCCGTGTAAATAAAAAACATGTAATTCAAACGTAATTATCCTTAAAAATTATCCTTAAAAACTATAATTTGTTCATCTATTTCCTTTTATATATTTTATTTACAATAATATAATAACAGAAGCAAACCTAGTGGTGGTGGAGGAGAGGTAGGGGGTTACTTGGGGAGGGAGTAATCTGAATCAGATGACAGAACCGGTGATGGGGAGAAGTGGGAGCTTTCAAGATGCCAGATGTCAATGGCTGAGGTTCAGGTGATGTTACTTTTTCCTTTTTCATAAAGTAGGAAAGCAATAAAGTACTGAAATACTACAGTAAGTCCTCGCTTAATGTCGAGGTTACGTTCCTAAAAATACGGCATTATATGAAACAACGTTAAGCGGATAAATTTTCCCCATAAGAAATTGATAAAATACGGGAGTTACATTCCTGAGCCCCCTTTGCCCCATGAAATACATTACATATACAAAAATCATTGCCATTTCTTTAGAAAATAATGCATACATATACAACTACAGCGAACCCTCACTTTACGCGGTTAATTCAACCCACAGGGTACCGCGGAAAGTGAGAAACGCGTAGTGAACAACATAACATATGGGATTAATTGAAATAGAGACCAGGCCCACCCCCAAACTCCACTTTTTCAGACACAATACCTACGTTGTAGTAAAAATAACTTCTTAATTTTATGATGGTATGCACACACAATTAATAATTAAGAGAAATATCAATAATATTAGGTTTTTTAACACTTACAGGTACATTAGTAGAAAAGATGGCTGGGCACACGGGGATGGGCGGTTGGTTCCGAGGCAGAGGGCAGATTATTGGCCCTCACCTGTATCACTTGTATCAATTGTATCACTATCCACCACAGAGGCTTGCAGGGCCTCTGTCAAACCCCTCAAAGTCCATATAAGCCCATATCCTCACTATAATTATCACTATCACTGACTTGGGCCAGCTGTGGTGGGTGGCGGGTGAAGAACTCGGTAATATTTTGATGACTGGGCGACCTTGTGCGCACCCTGTTCGCGCCGCTTACACAACTTGGCAGATGGCAGGAGAGGGCGGGAGAGATGGCGGGAGGTTTGGATCCAAAAATGGCATGGCTCGCCAGCCGTTCTCCGCGTAAAGGGGTACACGCACTGCGGAATGTGAGCATTCCGGTTTCGGCAGGGTACCGCGTAAACGTGGAAATGCTGAATGTGGGACCGCGTAAAGCGAGGGTTGACTGTACTAAGTTTGTGTTGGTAGTCAACGATGGACGGAGGTGGTATAGCGAGTGTATGGTGGGAAGTGAAGCAAAGGAGGCAGGTGGCCGGAGAGGAGGAGTATGGCAGGAATGGAGGAGGGTGGAAGCGCAGGAGGAGGGTGGGAGCGGAGGAGGGTGGGAGCGGAGGAGGAGGGTGGGAGCGGAGGAGGGTGGGGAGTCACTGAGACTCTGCACCAAGCCATGAGAGCATAGCACTGCCAGACGAGAGAGGGTGATGCACTGTAAAATGCAGTCTGTGATGACCGAAAACGACGTAGTATCGTATCACCGGGACGTTAAACAAATTTTTGGTCTCTAAAGTTTAGCGACGTTCCGATTATAAATGATTTTTTTTTAAACCAGTAATATGCACAAGAAATGGTCAGATTTCAGTAAAACACACCATGATACACCAAAAAATCTATTTTTGTATCAAAATCTGAGGACAGACAATGGACGAATTTTTACCCATTTTACCAAATAAAAAGTTGTGGCCTATTCTAAAATACTTTCAGTAGTGCATCATGTTAACCTTTAATGTGGATCTATGGTAGAGTAATACAGCTCCAGTGTTTTGTAACCTACCTTATTCGTGACGATATTGTAATTAGGTCACTTTCAGATACTTTTTCACCTTTGTTAACTGATACAAGAGCTTCACAAATATATGTATTCACTCATACTCAAATTACTGTTAATCTTACCAGCACGAAAGGATATCCTGCCAGCTACAAATGCCATGATAGTCCTTCCTTTTACCTGACCGTCAAGACACTGGGGTACAAGTGACTTAAGTAAGTCCATGGCACACTGCCAATGTCCTCAAGACCTTCATGTTATTATTTCAGGTTATCTGATCTCATTAATAATAAACACCCACCGGTTAACTTTATATTATTAAAAGCATTATATGTGAATATAAATATCATTCTAATTATCAGTTTCTGCTTCAAAAAAAATCATAAGAAACTCCCGACTATGAACACTAATACTCAGCTGTTGTTGAGTGTTGCTGCCAGAGAGTGTGGCGATAAACACAGATCTTATAACTATAACACACACACATTATGAGTAATGTATCAGAAATTTATATTAATATTTCCTCTTAGGAAGTTAATGCACTAAATTGGTGGATGCTAAGGTCAAATTCCATTATAGATTCTGTCAAGTGTAATTCTATATTCGTGTGCTTTCTTTTTTCTTTTATCCGCCAGGGAAACCCTAGCTTACTAACAAAATAATTCAGGTTGTTAAGGATTTATGAAAAATATTGTTTTATAAGGAACTTCTGGTACTACTGTACTGGGGTTTATCGAGCTGGCGTTGGTCTACTACTCAACTGGGATATTTAGCGTCTATTAACTCAACCTATCCTACCCTAACTTAACATAGCCCAGGTTTGGTTAGGTTAATAGATGCTACAGTGTAAATATTCCAGGAAACACAACTCCAGCTCGGTATGTACTTTTACTTTTTTTCTTTTATCCTCTTCGCCACTGATAGGCTTGTTAGCCGCCCGGGCGATCGGTCACGTCTCTGTCACGTACTGTTGGCAAATACTGGGCATGCACCGGCTCCTGAATGTACCTGAACCCGCTCCAGTGTTGGTCAAGTCTTCTCTTGAAAGAGCTCACACTCGGTGCCGTCACAACACTCTCTGGTAGATTGTTCCAAGAGTTTACAACTCTCACTCCGAAAAAGTTTGCCCTCACAGTTTTCTGGACCTGCGGCTTCTTCAATCTTGAGCTGTGACCCCTTGTGGGGCGAGCATCCGGCAGCTCCAAGTAAGGACACTCGACTGAGTAGTGGCCCTTGAGATGCTCATACACCTCCGTAGTAGTATAAGCTAGGCAAGTTCAGGCGCTCCAATCTCTCAGGGTAGTTTAACATTTTCAACCAACTGACAGTCCCTAGTATATCTCGGGGACCAGACGGGGTGACAGTACTCCAGATGGGGAAGCACATCACTCATGAAGATCGTTACGAAGGACGGACCGTCTAGATATCGGAACGACCTTCTTAAAAGACTCAATAATCTATTTACCTGGTTTACCTTCTTCTCGTAATGGCCCGTGAACTTCAGGTCATTGTCAACATACACACCTAGGTCCTTCTCACATTCAGTCTCAACTAGTGCAGTTTCTTCATCCCGTTGGGACATATGAGGGGATAAATAGTTTTTTGTTATTACTTATCTTTTCCATAATTATCTGTTTTATACATACTGTATGTAGACCCTGATGCCATATGACATTACGAAAATTGTGTTCAAGTCCCAGGTTGCTCATCTATCTTTCTGCCTCATTTACACTCAATTGCAGGGTCTCAACTGTCTCTCTTACTATTGACAACACCACAAATATAACCATACTCATTTTTTATCTGTTTTATTCATTCTATTTTATTCTCCTGTCAGTTGTTATTAATATTGAAGCGGGGCCTTCTCGGATGGGTCCCACTGGTCGGGAAGGTTGTGGACCCCAGGGCCGACCTGATCATCATCAAGCTACTGGGGCCTCAACTGACGCCACCGCGGTTGCTAGAGGATCGGCTTTTTTCACACTTCATTTTTCCAACATTCGCGGACTGAGATCCAATTTCCTTCTGTGGAGCACCATCTACTAACCTCTTCCCCCGACCTCTTACTACTTTCCGAACTCCAACTGACCAAAGCAACTTCACCCAAACCTTTTCAAGTCTCCAACTACAACCTTTATACCTCCTTCCATTCTAAGGGTGGTGTATGTGCCTACTGCAACACACGTACACCAATAGCTCGACTCACGGATCTTGAATCTTCCCTTTATGATGTCATCTGGCTCAAAATATCCCTACCTACTGTGACTATTTTTCGTTGTTTCCTATACTGTTCTCCCAACTCTACCAACTATTTCGAACTCTTTGACTATCTCACTTCTTGCCATGAGTCATTGCTATCCACACACCCCAACACCGAGATCCTCTACCTAGGGGATTTCAATGTACATCACAGAGAGTGGCTTGGCTCTGCAAGAGATGACCCAAGTGGAGCTGAGGCACTCTCTTTTTCCCTACTTAATGATTTGGAACAAATAATCAAACACCCTACACGCGTTCCTGATCGACACAATCAATTTGCTAACATTCTTGATCTTTGTTTTACCTCTAACCCCTCTCACTAGTCATACTCAATTTTTGCCCCCTTAGGGTCTTCTGATCACAACCTTATTTCTATTAAATCAAACTGGGCACGTCCACCTCCCCCACCCCCTATCGGTGGGCACTATCAGAGGGCAAGCAGGCAATCCTTGCGAGAATTCTTCACCGACTTTCCTTGGGATGAATGTTGCTTTTCCACTCGGGATGCCTCGGTATGTGCTGACAACATTGCTTGGGTTATGCAGGGCGGTATGAGTGCATTTATCCCATCTTCTACCAAAACTTTCACATTACAATCATGGTTTGATCGCTCCTGCTCTCTTGCTTGCAGGGTGAGAGATAGGGCATATCGGGCTATGAAACTATCTCCTTCTCCCATGACCCACACCTCTCTCATTACTTCTAGGAATCGGTGTAAGGCTATTCTTCGTAGGGCCAAGCGGAATTTTATTAAAAGAAAGACCGCTGTCCTGACTAATTCTAACTCTAGTAAATCCTTTTGGTCCATAACTAAACACATCTGTAGCAACTTCTGCACTCCCTCTTTCCTCCTCTCTTCCAACCTGATGACTCTATAGCCAACTCTCCCCCTGACAAAGCCAACCTCTTTGGCACCTTATTCTCCTTTAATTCCACCTTAGACGATTCCCACTCTATCCCTTCTACCCCTGCTCCTCCTACTGAACCTATGCACTTTCCTATAATCTCCACTCGCAGGGTTGCCGGTGTATTATCCAGGTTGGATGTGAGTAAGGCGCATGGACCGGACGGAATACCCCCTCGTGTTCTGAGGGAGTATGCTGAAGCCCTGGCCCCGGTGCTTGCTCGCCTCTGTCTCAAAACCCAAACTTTTCCTTCTTCTTGGAAGCATGCCTTGGTTCAGCCCATCCCGAAGAAGGGTGACCTTTCTAATCCCTCTAATTATTGCCTCATTGCCTCTCTAAGATTTTCTTAACTATCTTAAACTCCCATTTTCTCCGTCACCTTGAACGGATCACCAGTATGGCCTTCGCCAGGCGAGATCTACTGGTGATCTGCTCTCCTATTGCACGGTCATCCTCTCTTAGGGATTATGGGGAAACTTTTGTCGTAGCCCTCGACATCTCCAAAGCATTTGACGGGTATGGTACAAGTCTTTGCTATCTAAACTTCCCTCTTTTGATTTCTCTCCCCCTCTTTGTTTTCTCATCTTTAGCTTCCTTGAGAACCGATCCATGCAGTTGTTGTCGAGGGTTCGATCTCTCATTCTTTCTCTACCAGTAGTGGTGTCCCACAGGGTTCTGTTCTTTCACCTACTTTTCACCCGAGCGGAGAGTCAAGCGTCAATTTGTTCGTCAGGAAAAAGACCACCAACCAGCTGTCCAGGTTGGTGGAGAAGTCTGTGCACGAGACCGAGAGCAGCAGCACCAGTGAGGGAGACGACAAAGACCATGACGTGGAGGACGAATTGTTCCAGGCCTTGTACGAGACCCCCATAGGAATGAAAAACACTGACCTTTTCAAGCGTTTCCTGGGGGGAAAAGCCTTCGAAAAATTTTTTTCACTAGGACACCTTCCCCAACAAGGCCATGAGGGAGTTGTTCATCAAATAAAACACCCCCATCCCCTCTAGTGCTGCCGTGGAGCGCATGTTCTCCATGGGCAAGGATGTCTTGAGGCCCAAGCGCAGCAGAATGAGCGACAAGCATTTTGAGATGCAAGTATTCTTGCGGGGTACCAAATGAATAATTAAAATTATATAATATAAATCATAATAAATGATTAAAAATTAATTAATATTTTTTTATTTTGCATGTTACTCCCATACACAGGAGAATACGCGTTTCGGGGCTGCATTTGACGTCACTGAAAATTCGTTGACGCTGACGGCATCAATTTATGAAACCGTTTACGCCGACCCTGATGGCATCAAATTTCTCGGCCGTTTACGCTGACGCTGGCGGAGCCACTTTTTTTCGTTGACGTGTACAACACTGTTCATAGGTGTATCACTAATATAAAGACATCATTAACCTTAAAATTGAGGTTAGGTTCTGAAATAGGTTTCTTCAACAAGGTGACCATTAACCTACCAAGATGTAAACCAGAATTGTTGTATTATTGCTACAGTATCCTTCAATATTGTGAATGTAATAATATTAATGACATTTTTAAAAAGAGGAGATGGAGAGACCATGGGATTTTGGGAATACTGTATGAAAATTCATGCTGCGGTGGCAAAACCAAAATATTATGAGGCCAAAGCTAAGTTGTAGGAGGGTTGACTTTACTTTAAACAAGATTACAGTACAGTACTGTACAGTGTGTCAGATACTGTAGTCAATCTCTTCATAACATTATACTGTAAAGCCATCCAATAAGACAAAAAAAAACGAAAAAATAAATACCCAGTAAATAAGTAAAACATCCACAGTAGGAAGTGACAATAAAGACATGAGTAATATTAGTTTATTTTGGTTTGTAGATTTATACATGGTAATTTAATGTAAAATTACTCGGGAAAGGCTACAGTACTGTAAATGCTTCCCTATAAAGTTGACTAACAGATCTCAAACTGTAATGAATGATATACACAACTCAGTACAGTCCATTTAGAGAGAAAAGTTGTGGTCTGGTATTTGGTTACTGCTTGCCACAACACCTCTTAGGGAACGATCCTAGAAAAGAAAGAACACATTACCAAAAC